AGTTTGAGAAATTGTACGGCGTGAGTATGAGTGTATTAAACCTGAAATGTGTGAGTCTCACACAGAGTGGTTGAAAGTTTATGTGCTTAATGCTTGAGAGTTAGCAGCCAACTGTGTCATTGTCTTACCCAATGGTGAACCTCGCCGTCTTTGCCCAACTGTTGTTACTTGCAGATTCCAAATGCTATATGCCGACACTTACATGACTCGGGAGGAGTTCCGCCAGATGTTTGATCACACGTTGTACGACAAACTGAGACACAGGCTGGGCTGTAAGAAAGCCTTCCCTGAAATCTACGACAAGATCAGCAGAGCTGCACGCATCTGATTATTCAGGAATATTTCCCATTTTACATAACATTACAGCCTTAACCACAGTGGTTAAGACCTTGTTATTGTCAGACTGTTAAAAGGAGATGCTGAATATGTTACTTGTGCTAAATTTATCTTTACATATAATTTAGATCAACATAATCGGAAAAATCCAACACCTTGATTTTTTTTTTTTACTGAAAAAAATACTTGTTGGATTTACTTTGGAGACAATTTCATATTTAAGTTTAAGAAACAGTGCAAATTTTTGGGACCAGTGAATTGCTGTGGATTGTACGTTTATTGAAGGATGCCATGGTTTTGGGTTGTTGCTACCATAGTCTTCAATTTAAACATATGTAGGAGTTCGTCAAAGTTAGGAACTTACCAGTGTATCCAATCAGACTATTGATGCCAAAGCTGAAATGCAGTAGATATTTAGTATTCAGTTGAAAGAAAATTATCCCCAGCAGTAGGAACTAGTCAGCTAACCACTGTGTTGTGTTACATGGACGTCACCAGGGGGCCAAGTGGGGTGCTTGTCGACCCCTCCCCACCCAAAAAATAATAAAAAGTGTATAAAAAAAAACAAAAGGAAAGGCGATTCAAACTAACGATTTGCTTGAAACCACCTTGGAGATTATCCTTTTCTACCATTGAGGGTTTGTCAGTTTGCTGCTGATGAGAGACCCCCGCGGAATACGTGGCTGCAGATTTGACAAACAGCTTGCAATTGCATGTGAAAGAGTAGATTTTTGCCTGTGTGGGGAGCGGGCAATTTTTTTTTAACTTTAAAGAATATACGTGTAAGCATCTGATGTTCTTTCTTAGGTGTGCCAAGTTAGATATCTTACTTGTTATATGCAACAATTTATAAAGGACCGAATTCTTGAATTTTTAATTCTTTTTATGTACATGTACTTAAAAGTAAATTCTTAAATTCTGTATTATTCATCTTATGCTGTGGCAAAGCAACATCCATTCAAATTGATAATACATTTTACATTGATTAAAAATAACTTTGTTGATACAGTAGACAAGAATTATT